TAGAGTACAAATCAAAGGTGCTGCGAAAGTTTAGAGTCCTCCAGCACAAGGGACTTTCAAAAAAACATGTGTTGCGAAAGTTTAGAGTCCTCCAGCACAAGGGACTTTCAAAACAACATGTGTTGCGAAAGTTTAGAGTCCTCCAGCACAAGAGACTTTCAAACGAGATGTGCTGCGAAAGTTTAGAGTCCTCCAGCACAAGGGACTTTCCGAGAAGGTCATTCAAACAAATATGATACAAGATACGAAACTAAGGACAATCATTCATGCTTAACAAATCATTTTCAAGACAAGCAAAGCAAAGTTCTTCAAAACATTGATAACATAACTTTATCAGAAATACCACTCACCTAGTTCTTCAAATATCGGGGTCAAGGCAAGTCCAAGTCCTACAACACATGGCAAAGTCTATTGAATGCACTACTCAAAACAAGTCTAGCTTTCATGCAAATGACCTCAGCATTCTTCAAAACTAAGTCAATCAAATTGAAACACAGTTTCTTTTCTTGTCCCTGGAACAACACGCTGGGCAACTACCAGGTCTAGGCCGAGGTCCCACACCTCCTTGCCGAGGTGTAGCCTCGATGGCCACATTCAAAAGTGAAGTCGGGAAAAATTTGGGTTTCCCTCTTGATAACATGAAGAACAGGAGCATGAAACACTTGAAGAACATGAACATGGGGAAGATGAATGCAAAGATCGAAACTTGCTATTACAACAGCTGAGACTCCATGCTATGAATTCGAAAACATGGACCTGGGTACCCACACTCAAGGATCTTAACAAAACAAACACAAAAATATGAGCTTTAATGCAAACTTTCGGATCAAACGAGGCTTTTCCTCAAAAATACATGAAAACCGTTTTTTTTTTTCTCTTTCTAAAACCAACTTTAAATCGATGAATGGTGTGCGGGACAGGTTTGATCATGCAATGCAGCTAGATGATCAATAAGAACAACAAGAGTAGGTTAAGATTCTGACCTCAAAACTCGAATCCAACGGTTCAAGCTCCAACGATCAAGCTTGGAAGTCACCCTCTCAAGCTCAAACTTCTCCCCCTTCTAACTAGAGCTTCTCTCTCTAAAAAGGCAAGATTGATACCAATTGTATGCTTCACGCGACAAACACTAACTTAATCCCTTTGTCGGGACACGTGGCATTGGCTGATTCGCTCAACTCGAAAAGGTGACTGACTTGACAAGACAAGACAAGACTAAGACAAAGCGTACTCAACAAGTTAGGCGGCACGAACACACCGGCAAGTAAAGACATCGGCTAACAACAAGACTCCGGAAATCAAAAGGGCAAGGACATCGGCTTGGAAGGACAACACTCGACTAAACTGTGCCACACCTTGGCCTAGATGTGCCACACCTCGGCCTAGATGTGCCACACCTCGGTCTAGGTCGTACCATTCCAGGAACAAAATCACTCACGCAAGGATCAAGGATCTTGAACACCTAGATATTAACATCTCGGCCCAGATGATGCACATCTCGGCTAATATGCCAAGGTGAAGATGGGGGTCGACCAAAGGGGTTCCAAGATAGTTCTAAGTGATAAAGGTTTCAAAGGTGTCAGGCTTAAGACGACCTCGGCAACACACCAGGCAAGAACAAGGTATGCAAGCAATCATTCAAGCAAAACAAGACACGATTTGCAAATGTACATATTAAAACAAGATCATCCACAAATGTATGCAAGTATGACTAAGTCGAAATGAGGGTTGTTACATTCTTGGCATCAGAATTGCTGAATATTACCGAGTATGTGGGAACTATAAATGATGTAGCTAGAAGAGCAAAGGTCTTCCTAGTCCTTCCTGATGCATTATTGGATGCATTTTTAATATTGTGGATTTTCACTTCTCTTTCAAGGACACTTGAGCAGCTACAGGTAATAGATTTTCCCTTGCTATAAATTCATGTTTTTTTTTACTAATGTCATTTGACTTAATTGAATGATGCTAGCAATTCTTTTTCCTCTATTTACTATTTTCTTTCTCATGGAGTTTACATTCAGACACAAATTTTCTTTCTATCCATTCCAGGCAAAGAGGAGTTCTGTCAAATTGGACATTTATAGGAGGTTCTCTGATGCATTAGCAATAACTGTGATTGTTTCAGTTGCTTGGATAGGATATGAGGTATGCTTCTAATGAGTACAATATTTGGTCTTGCTTATAAAAATGTCCCATAAAATGTAAAATACATCATACTATCATACTGATAAATGAGAAGAAATATTGGTTGGTCTGGGTATATGAAATGAAAGAGAGCCAAGTGGACCATATTTGGTCTTGCTTATACTGATAGCTTGGGATTCGATGCCTTCTACTTGGGGACAAAATTCTGTGGTTGGAATGGATGATCATGAGAATAAATGAAGCACGTGAGAAAAGCTATCTTCCTTAGGAGCCTACAATGGGGCCTGTTTTTGCAATCTAAAAGCATAAGCTAAATGCACCCCTTCCCATGCTTTCCAATGTGTTTTGTTGTGCTTTGAAGCAATTTTTGGGCTTCACGCCAAGTTAACCAAAGTGGGTTTGTCTTGGTCAATGAGATAATGTGGATTCCTTAGCCCTTAGCTTGGCTTGTCAGGTTGGCCCGTTGCCTTCATACTATTTAGAATTACTACTTGGTTTTTCTTTTAAGGCCAAGGCGGTGTGGGATACAATGATTGAAGGATCTGAGACGAGGTTGGCAACTTAGAAGAAGCAATTCTTGTTTTGGTTTGCTTCAAGAATTTACAGTTGAAGTAGAGGATGATTCCCCTTGCCCATTAAGCTTTTCCATGGCCGATAGCCCGCCGATAGCCCCGAGAGGCCATCCTTGCCACATTATGCTGCACTATATAGTTGCTAATGAGATTTGGGGAATATGATCTTTTTTAGCACTTTTATAGATGGTTATTTACGTGGAAGAATTATTATTTGATATGTTTGCTCCTACAGGTCTACTTCAAAGTGACAGATCCATTCAATGAGAAGTGGCAGGGTGCTTGGATGATCACTGCCCTTTGGGATATTCTTGCATTTGCATTGTTATGCCTTATTTGCCATCTCTGGGCCCCCATCACAAAGCTCTCAACAGTATGCCATGAATTATAACTAGCCATAGGAGGAATTATGCTGTTTTTTTAAGTACAAGTGGCTGCATGGTTTGCTACAACGTTTTACTATCATCAAATGGTTACTGAGCTTTTTCTTCTGTTAAATACAAAATAATTGAAGCTAACTTTAGTTTTGTTAATCCAAGCAGTTCATAAATGGCAAGCAGGCAGGTTTTATGGTTCTAATGATGATCCTGCATTTATCTTGTTTGTGTCTCACTATTGGATAAGAATGCCTTTTTATTTATATTAAGAATTTTTTAAAAAGAAAAGAAGAGAAAGAACACGGTTGAAAATTTGGTAATCTACTAAAGAATAATTTTTAATGGAAAAACTATGGTTTCACTTTAGTCTATATCTTTTGCGTTGTGTTTGGTTGGGAGATTTGGAAAGGATAAGGAAAAAGGTGTGTGAAACTAATCTCTCAACCAAACACAGCCTTGGGATTTAAGTGTTGCATTTTGAAACATAGGTGGTCAAAGTGAAAATGGACAAAAGATAATTACCCCTCTTTTTTTCCCCATTGAAGGCCAATGTGTCAAATCGATATTACTAAGTCACATCATCTTATTTAATTCACATCACCTCTCTATCACATCACTTCAAACCCAATTCATTCTTAATCCATATTTCATAAAAAATTAAAAAATGTACTTATTTAGATCATTCCAAACAACTCTTAAATTTAATGGAAGTCCAAGTGGGCAGAAGTTGGAAGGGGGTAAAAAAAAACTATTATTTGTCTGGTCCAGTATCACCAGAGGGAACCAGCATTTCCCGTTGATGGTAATATGCCACTGTTTTTCACTCACTAACTGTACCTTTTGTGCAGCTACACGTATTCAGATGTAATGGAAGAGCAGTTGGATGATGATGAAGCTCAATCATTGTGTGGGGGAACACCAAAAGGTGACCTCAGTTTAGTCAAGCAGGAGAGAAAGGAGAAGGATGTTGATAGTACTGGTGTTTCCAATCTAGAAGATGGCCCAGAAGAGGATAAGAGGGAATGATTCCCTAGAATTCATCAGTTAACAACCTTGCTCTGTAGAAAATGGCCCGGAAGAGGATAAGGGAATGATTGCTGAGGATTCATCGGTTAACAGCATTGCACTGTAGAGATTAATGCAAAGAGGAAAAACTTCATTGAAATGTTGAGTAAAAAAAATGTTATACCCTCCTTATTGCGTGTAATTTTCTTCGTGATATTAATTTTGAAAATGTATATGTTAAAAGAGGGGCAGTAGATAGTGTTCTTAACAACTGGAAAAATGTACTCTCTAAATTGAGGTGAGTTGAAGGCACTGTAGTTGCGATGCCTTCTTTTTTTTTTTCTTTTTTTCTTTTTTTTTTGAGGTTTAGTTTTGAATTTTTCGAAGCTTTTTGACTGAGCCATTTCATTAGAGGATTGTAATGACATTTTTTTTTTTTTGTTTATCTGATTGACATGATGTAACTTAATACCTTGTGATAGAGAACAAGTTGCAATGGCCATGCTAATTTTGAAAGGTGAAGTTTTTTTGTTTGCTATCACTTTCATTTTTGATAATTTTCAAATAGAAGTTTGAAAGCACCATTTGTTTCCATTTTTATGGGAAATAATTTTTTAAAAGCCTGGGCAAAAATACATTCTAACCAAATCCCCCAACAACGGCAGCCAGAAAAATCAACATCAGCTCGTCATCTAAATCCATTCAAACCACAAATGTAGTGTTTTCTGAGTAAAAGCCACAAAACCAAACTCAACACCTCCAGATTCTAGCCCCAATGCAAAAAAGACCAAAAGCTTTTTAAATCACCCTTCATATTCAACTGATTTTCACTCTCAGTTGCAATAGAATATCACAAGACAGAACAAAGAAGAGAGCGCGAGAGAGAGGGAGAGAGAGAGAGAGAATTAATTACATGTTTACAGTAGTGAAATTCACATATCAGAACTTTCAGTGATGTAAAACAATAATAAAAAAAATGGAACAATGAAATTACAACAATGGGAAAAACAGATTTTTTTCCACCTTCCATTCTCAGTCGTCATTCTATTGGACATCATCCATTTTTAAACCCAGATTTAAATGAAATTATGCTTTCCAAATTTTTAAAAAGTACTATTGATTTTATCTTTCCTAAACTAAAAAGCCCCCGCTATTTTTCTCCCAATTCCATTCTTTTTCCATTACATTTAGAGCTATCTCCGGCCTCCACTGGCTTCTCTACGCCTTCGTCTCCTCCCCGACCGTCCCAACAGAATCCTTCCCTGGCGGCGGAGGCGGTGAACCAGTGATATACCGTCATTGTCACCATCGTTATCATTGTGACTGTCACTATCTTCATCGGACAAATCAAAACCACCAACAGGAGAGGTGTGGCCAAACCCAACACCACCTCCACCATCTAATGCGCGGTCAGAATCCCTCTCGTGCTGCCTCATTCCTCGATTCTGGCCAACGTTTCCGCCTGGCCCACCAAACGCGTGCAATAGGAGAAAAACATTGACCAAATTGCTATTGATTCCCAGTTCAAAACCTGCATTCCTCTCTCCAACATCCACATCAAAACCATCCTCTTCGTCCGTATCAAAACCATAATGACTTCCTTCTATCACGTAATCACCAAAAACCATTGCCCCAGGCATCGACGACCTTATCGTGCTGATCACATCATCCCGCTCTCGATCATGCTCGAGGCGCCTCCATTTTTGTTCAAGAGCAGGATCCACTTCCCGTGGCCGAGCAGAAGGATGCTCTGCCCTCACGTGTTTCCTCAACTCTTTGTATGTTCCAATGAACGAGCAGTTATCCTGTGTGCAGCTTCTCTTCTTAGCATTTAGATACTCCCGTGCAGGTTCAACTACAGTCCATCCCTTCACCTGGCCCCTGCAAAGGGGGCATGCAAGCTCCGTTGCTTCACACTTCTCAACAGGCCAACTAGTAATGGAGCCCACAACTGAATTATCAACCGAGTCTTGTGAGGGTTGCTCGTGATGGGTTGATGTCACTTTAGTGTAGGCTTTCTTGTACTGATCTAGGCAGTTAGAATAACGAAAGCTCGTGCCACACATGTAGGGACGACAACCCTTGTCGTGAGAGGAGCACAAGAGAAGAACAGCATTGTGTGGATACTCCATGCATACAGAACAGGTTGCATCTTCCCAGTCTTTCTTCTCCAAGATTTTTGAGCATTTCTTCGGGTTCATGCCCTCGATTGCGTCGTGATTACATGATGGCAATGGATATGGGGTTGCCCTGCACTGTCGTGAGGCAATCCTGCGTCTTCCCCTGGTACCTTTTGCCATTTCCAAACTAAACCTGAAAACCATTGTCAATTCAGAAAACTAAACCAAAAGTCTATCATAAGCGACTTTCCTACCTATACACATGCACAGGGAAACAAAAGTTGCACAAGTAATTTTCAAACTTAATTTAGTAGGGGGGAAAGAAGAAAGAAAAAAAAAAGAGTTCTGGATTGTTGCAGTGTGTTTACAGGTAATGCATAACCATTTCTTATAACATGAAACAAGCATGGTGGGTACCCTTGAAAAAATACATATATATATATATAAATCCAATAGAAATTTAGGCAAAATCGTACTCAGCTAGTAAGCTTTAGATTAACAAACGAAAGAGAAATAATTGAGGCTTAAACCATCTCCAACCCTAGTATTAGATTTGTCATCAAATTTAAATTTGATGAAACACGCTACTTTTTGGGCTCCAATCGTGGCATCAAACCCGTATCAAATGAGAGGAAAACTAAAAATTTCATTAAATCAAGGGAGCGTTTAACCTTTCATCAAATCTCGCACGTAACCATTGGTGGACGACAGGATTGATGACGACCAATCGGTTAATCAGGTAGACGAATGGCCGGAAAGCCGGGTAGACAACCAAATTAGGAAAGATTTGATAAAAATTTACTCTAGGCCGGATGACCGACCAGATTTGATGAGACGATTGGAGCGCATCATATCAGATCAAACTTTTACTCAAATTTGATGAAACATTAGAGATACTCTAATATTGTAATTTCAGAGTGCCATGTAACTTTTTAGGCATGTCTGGCACATACATTGGCTATAACTTTTACAGATACCTCTCACGGCATTTAGATAACTCCATCAGTTTAAATTCAAAATACTTGCGAACTCCAGGCAATAGGCACAATATACCACCAAGGCCATCAACCATATAACTAATAACGTGATACAAAAGACAGTCCAGCATCCCATGTCTAACATTAATTACATTTTCTTTTATTATGTTTTCACTAACATTTAACATCCTTCAATGAATAACTGTATTCGCATGAATTTGGTGCTGTCATACTCATTGATTTTCAATTTAGTGCATCTAATCCTGCATTACCATTTCATATATACAAAGACGCATTTAATAATAAAAAGTAAATTCTAAATTAAAAATAGTAAAGTTACAGTAACAAAGAGTTGCAGGGATATTGACAAGCAAGGCACCAGAGTCTCTATCCCCTCAAAAGTGTGCCAATCCCGTTCACTCCACAAACACCACATCAAATAATCATATAACCGAAGAACAAAAGACTGCATACCTAATGAACTCCAAAATGATGACTTCCTAGTCCCTAGCAACCTCACAAATGTAAACAAAAAATGGTTCATTGTCTCCTCTACCTTCTGGAACATGCAACACCAATTAGTAAACCTTAAACCTCTTTTCAACGTATTGTCAATTGCAAGAATAGAATCCAAAATGGTGACATTTTTAAATTGGATGGCCATTTTGGATTCTATTCTGGCAATTGACAATATGTTGAAAAGAAGTTTCAGTACCATATCCCCATCCCTTTTTCTTATAGAAATTTCATCTTGCATGCTTTGATGGGAAGTTAAAAATCATATAACTTCTGGAAACTTCAAATCCCAATATTTGAACTCTTCTTATTTTTTCTTCTTTTTTTCTTAGTTTGTTAGTAGTTACTTCCCAGAGAGAAACCAGAGCATTAGTCAAAAGTCATATGACTAATGTAATAAAATAAATAAATAAAAAAGAAGAAGTCAATATCATTATCATTAGTGCATGCACTGCAATAAGCAACTCAGAAATTCAATATAGAATTTCTTCTTAAGACACGACACGATGTTAAGCTCCCTTGAGTGCTTATTAGTGGCTTGCCATTTTCAAGGAGGGAGCGACAAATAAAGTTCCGAAAAGTAAAATAAATTCAAAATCCATCATGTGCATTACAGCAGTTTCTTCCATCCACATCCCAGTACGAGATGACCATTGTCTTGGTATCAACATGGGATAACATAGCACAAATGCAGAACAATTCAAAAGGAAAATAACCCAAATGACATTATCTTCAACTGATAAAGTCAACTACCAAATAAGGTAAATCTACTGTCTCACCTGAGCAAGGCCAGGGTACACATGCTTTCTTAGAGCCATAAACACAAGGCTGAAAGATATCCAAAACCATTGGAGTTCCCATGGTCACCACAAACTACAAGCACTCTTCCTCAACACACACCACCAAAGATCACCAAATAAGGATAGTGATAACCTCTAAAAGAAGGTGCTATATGCTAGGCTGCAAAATCTGAATACAGAACTCTGCATCAAGCAAGAAGTATAGTCTAACAAACAGTACTATTTGGATTGCTCCCCAAAGACAGTCCTAATAGTAATTGTTTGATATTAGCCTAAGACACTTAAGCTAAAAACCCTACAAAAATTGCAAAACATCATTTCTATCAAAATCTAATATGATATTTTCCGTTATTCAATAACAAACACAAGTGAATAAAACCTGGGGCACCCCCGCGCTTAAACCATCTCCGGGGGATCAGGCTCAGACAATACTGCTGCCCTAACAGAAATATAGCAGTTAACAAGATCAACTACACGGAGATGTTCAAAAATAACCTTCCACTACTCAACAACTAGTAATTCTTATAAACTAAATCTAGATGACTAACATGAAGTTTGATCACACAACAAATGACTTCATAACACTGAAAAAGAGAACAATTTAGACAAATGGTTGCTTGTGATGAGTATTGCAGACAGTAGTTTTAAAAAAAAAAAGAATTCTTTCAACAGAATTACGGAAGGGCATACAGAAAACATGTATTTAGTTCATCAAATAAACAAATACACAAAAGTTTAAAAGTTTGTATGTTCATATGTCACAATGTTCCATGCATGTTAAAACTGGGAAGCAAACAAAACAATTCAATTCAAAGTTTCGAAATACAACCACTCCAAATAATCCTCAATTAACATCCCCCTAATTACACAGAACAAGTAATTGAAATGCTAACCCAAAACCAATGCGCAAATTTTGTAAAATTTCGACCAATCAAAACATAATTTAACACGAAAAGAACAATACCAACCTGGCCCTTTGAGCAAATCTAGATCCAAGAGAAATTGTTAGTTGGATAGACCAAAATGCATAGACATATATAAATACATACATACATATATATATAGAGATAAATAGACAAGTCAGAGATGTATAGTTAGGTAACTGATCCGTGAAAACGAAACAACGTGGAAAACCAAACAATCACGCGACAAGACACTTGGAAAATGAATAAAGTAACAGGAATCGTATAAAACCAACTCTAATTATGATGTATTACAAATAATTTATTATTATAAGAAAAATTAAAAAAAAAAAAAAAAACATCAGCACATGCCCGCCCTTGAGGAAGATTTCCCAGTCATCTCAGATCCAAAATTAAATTATTCAATAATATCCATATTTTTTTAAAAAAAAATACACACTTTCATAACTTAATCTGCAACAAATATAGACATACGTATATCTAGAGAGAGAGAGTGTGTTCGTACCGGGGGAATTGAGAGGGGAGGAGAGAATTTGGAAGAGAGAGAAAGTTAGGGTTTGATAAAAAGGTCGAAATCGAGATTACAGGCGAACAGATCGAGGAGGAGAGAGGGGGGAGACGAGCATTTCAATTTTCTCTCTGTTTGCTGAGAGAGAGAGAAGTTTTATCGGATTCGTCGAGTCATTTCTACGCTACTCTCTCTCTCTCTTGAAATGTATATCTCTTTTGGTGAAAAATGTAGAGAGAGAAGGGCAGCGGGCGTAAACAATGGCGGTTTCACGCGCTCGTGACAGGGAGTGCGGGTGACGCACTGGGGCTAGTGGGCTAAGAATTGCTTTTGTTGCTGGGCATTTTTATTTTTTTTGTGAGGCACCGTTTGGGAATATAGTTTAGGAGTTTTTTTTTGAGGGATGCATCAATAAATCCCAAATTAATAATTTATACATTGTTTAGTCTTAAAAGTTTTCTTATAGACTGAAAGGTCCTATTACAATGTTTCAAACATCAGATTAATGTTTCGAACATTAGATTTCGAACATCAGATTAGTGTTTCGAACATTAGATTGATGTGCAAATGGGACTAAATGGTGCATAAGAAAACTTTTAGGACTAAATGGTTCAACTTTTCAGAAACTAAGACTTATGGATAAATTTTCCCTTTTTTTTTTATTATTATTTTAGTCATAAAAGATAAAATAAATTATTTTAATTATAATAAATAAAACATCACATTAAGTTCATAATCATTACATTCTTTTCTTACAAAAAAAGTTAAAAAATCAAAAAAATCATTTCCAAATTAAGCTTTTTAACCCAAACTAAAATAGCTTAAAAAACCAAAAAATCAAAAAACCAACTCACTTCCCAAACAACACCTAAATGGATATAGCTTCATTTGGGAAGCAAAAGTTTGTGTTTTTTTGGTTATTTTAGTTAAAAAATAAAATAAATTGTTTAACTTAATGAGACAAAATATCATATCCAACTCATAATCATTATATTTTTTCTCTTATAAAAAAATTAAAAATCAATTTCAAACAAAATTTTTTAATTTCAAAATAAGATAATTAAAAAAATTAAAAAACAAACTCACTTCCTAAACAAAAGCTATGTAAATAAGTTATTTTAACATATTTGTTAAGAAACATTAACATCTGTAACATATCTGTAAACAACAATGATTCATCCCCCTTTTCCTCCCACCCCCTTTGATCCCCTCTCTCTCTCATTGGTTACATTTTCTTTTTCTTTTTCTTTTTTTTCCTGCTCCTCCAATCACCACCCGTCACGTGACAAAGGAGGTGAGGGGGTGACCCCCAAAAAGGGGTCCCAAGCATTACTCATCTGTAAAAACTTTCACCCTACATCATAATCGAAAGCTCCACGTGCCCAGACGCTAAAGGACAGTATGGGCTTGTTTGGTTTGATTTTGGGAGATGAGTTTGGGAGATAAAAAGTACGAAAAGTTGTTTGGTTTGATTTTTTTGGAAAGATGTTTTAAAAAATTATTTTGAGAGAGAGTTTTGAAAAAAGTGATTGATTTGATGTGTATGAGAGAGAGATTTGTTTGGAAAACTTGTTTGGTTTACAAGTTTTGGAAAAAAATTTTGAGAAAATTTGTTTGGTTTGAGTTTTTCTAAAAACTCATTTGTAGAGAAATTTTCCCAAAAATTTTTGGGAAATTCAAACCAAACGAACCCTATGTTTTCTAAAAAACAGAAAGTGCTCAATTGAGAGGTACGTGACCACGGGCTGCGACTGGGGGCTGCAAGTTTGGGAGTGTTGGTGGTTACTTGAGATTAAACCCACTTTGGATATATGGGGGTATGGATGCGCATTTTTTGCTCACCCGCCCGTATGTTTTTTCTTAAATAAAAATTCACTCTCAAATCTATACAATAAGGAAAGAGGTTCATTTATGCTTGAAGACGGATGCTCACTGTAACGATCATATCGCGTATAGTGATTAATATTTAATTAGTTAAAAAAATTTAAAATTTAATTGTTATAAAAATTTAAATTTTTAGACAACTAATTAATTTATTAAAAATAATATTAATAGTGATTATTAAACTATTAAATTATAATGTTATAATATTAATAGCATCATAATTAATACTAATATTAAATTCTTTTAAATAAATTTTTTTGTCTTGCTGTGATTAAATTTCTGTATCAAAATACAGTTGTGAAACTAAATGAGTTAAATAAATAGTAATTGAATTAATCAGAGGGTGGTAAGCAAAATATCTAGTGGCTAGGTTATATATATTTATTCAAAAAAAAAATTCAAATCAAATCAAAATTTATTTTGAGAAGAGAAAGTCAGCCCGAACATGCCAAACACGCCAAACACGCCTTTGCTTGCTGTCAGTCTATGCTCACATGCATAGATGGCCAATCGCAAGACCTTGCCAAAGCAGCCACGATATGTAGCAACTATAAGCTACCCTATTAGGTGGTATTTCCTAAGCCCAAAAAGAGAAATAAAGTAAAATTGAAGTGATAATAATAATAATAATAATAAATTTGGCCTCAAACTCCTACATTTAGGAGCATTCTTCAGCAGTCCCTTGCACACACATACGTAACTAAGCAAACAAGAGGAAGAGAGGGAGAGAAAGCAAGAGAGGAAGGAGAGAAGAGAGGAGTAGAAGGGCTCAATACTTGAGAATTTTTTTACTTCATTCAGGTAAAGAAATACTCAACCCTACCCTTCCTTAGATGTTTTCTTAAACCTACACATTAGAAATATGCAAAAGTGTGTATTGATAATACACAAATGCTCAATGCATGTTACATTTGGATAAAATGATAATCTTATAATTATGTGATTTCTGTCCTTTTCACAAATCTGGGTTAAGTGGTTTAGCTAATGATCTTGCTCTTTATGTGATCAAGTATCCTCCATTGTTGAATCAATCTCACATGTTTATGAATTTATGTTTACTCTTCATCAATATTAATTTTTGTTATCACTAATAAAAGTAAATGTGAAGGATTAGAGTTTCACATGGAAATAATAGTAAGAAACATTTTTTTTGTCTTGCATGTGATTCATGGTGGACACAAAGTGTGTTTTTCGCAAAACTAATAAACTTCCAGCAAAAACAGATTTTAATCCGTTTTGAATAAACCCTAAACAAACTCATGACTCATGAGAACATTTTCATAAAATTTGAAACTACTGGAGTTAGTTTAACATGTTTTCATGACATTAGAATATTGAAAAAAATTATTTGACAACGTTTTCATGGCCTGAATATATTTTTAACTTCCCAAACCAAGCTTTTAAGCCCAGGCTAAAATAGCCAAAAAAG